ATGTGTACGCACGACACTGTAAAATTACTGCGTCAAAAACAATTACGTTACAGCCCAACAGTTCGCGTAACCCGACCACAATGAAGATAAACCAAACCACCGCCCGAGCCAGTCAGCCCTCGTCGTTTGCCCTTAGCGAAATGCTCTTTGCGCTTTTCCACCGGATTCCGACTTCCGCGTGACAAGTCGCTGTCGAGGTCGGGGATTAACTCTCGCATAATCGTCCCTTCGCGTCTTCTTCCCACCTTCCTCCGTGTAAGATCCCAACGCGTCTCCATTTGACTAATTTCGAAAATTACTAGTCCGTAAACTCGCGCGGTTCCCGAGACAACGACGACGATTTCGAATTAACTCCCGTGAACGATTCATCGATAATCGAAGCGTTAGATGGTCGGTTGTGTTGATTACTTCCTCAGACATTAGCGTCCTATAAGATGTCTCGCTTTTTTCCCAGATGAAGATTCATTTCCATTAGTTTAATTTTTGTCTGTCTTACACGCAACTGAATTATTTGAAATAAACAAAAGTTATATAAACAATTAAAAGTAAAAAACTTTTTTTTATATATAATTTTCTTTTAAAAAAAAGCTTATGTATATGAGCTTCTTTGACGTATTACTCCACAATTATTAATTTCTATTTGTCACCGACGTTCGCGCGAACACCAGACCGAACGTTTGATATTATCAACGACGTTGGTTCACTCGTAGGGTGGAATCGAGGGGGCGGGGGGTCGAATCGCGCGGTGGCGCGGCATTGTCGAGTGGAAAGGGGTCCAATCAATCAGCCGCAAATCAGTATGCACGGCACGTTCGCCTAATGCCGCCACTCTTTCATCATATTCATTTGATCGCGACCCCCTCAGCCTGTGCACGCAATCGTTAATGGCGCTGTTTAAAGATCGCAACCGATCGATGTCGAGACCCGCGCGAAGAAGAGAATATACGTGCGGATCCGGTTAAAAATTACGATTTCTCTTCTCTCACGTACTTATTGCTTTTTTTTTTTTTTTTTGTTTTTCACTCACGACCAAAACAAGAGTGCTAGAAATTATTTCTCGTATTGCAGAAATTACGAAACGCATTAAAACTTCTAAATCTTCTTCGCTCTTTTTTTGTTTCACAATCATTTTCGAGAAAACCGAGGGATGTTAAAATTGCTATAATCCCATTATTGCGAAATGACTGTAATAAATCAGTCAAAGATACGTTTCATATAATCGCAAGTTGTGCATATGCAGGAGAATCTCGATAATTGACGAGAAGAAATAGCATTTTCCAGACGGAGGAAAAGAGAAAGAGAAAGAGAAAGAGAAAACGTATAACCGCGGTTACACATCAATAATGATACATGGCTCGCGCTACTTGCGTTTTCGTGGCTTCGCGAAACGACCGGCTGCCATTCGTGAAGCGTTAAACAGATTACGGACGGCAGACGGTGCGTTGCCACGAGGCAAATACGTCTTTGGCTCTCCGACTGGCGTGAGATCGAGATGGCAGGAGGCAGAGAACCGGGCAAATACGTAATCCGGATTATCGTGGATCCGCTTACCTTACCGGACACTTGCGCCAGTGGAACGATACGGCGCCGATACCGGTGCCCGACTCGTCCCCTTCCTGCTCCACCCCCCTTTTGTTCCTAACCCCTTCGGAGTTCTCCTACCCGGAGCCGTACTTCTCGCACGCCCCGCAGTACTTTTAAGAGGATTGCTCTGTAAGCCGTAATATTTTTAACGAGTCCCTGAGTTTCCTCGCCGTGTACCGGCCCGGTGCGCTTGTGACAAAAAAGCAATCTGTCGAAAAGGTAACCGACTGTACTGCGATAAGAAAATAAATAAATGTTTCATAGTTTTTGTTGTTCAACAACGAACGTCTATCAAGTCGTAATTCCGTTCTTCGTTTATATGTTTTTATTTAATTTTCAAACTAACAATCTTATAATTTTACACATTCGATCTGCGTTGATGAAATACTGCAGCTTCCTGTATCAAGTCGAATTATAGAGGCGTAAGTCGCAGGAAGCACATACAAAATGAGCGAAGATAGACAGCGGATGAGAGAGAGAAAGGGAGAACGTTCAATTTAAGCCGAGCCCACAAGCGCAAAAATGCTTCCGAAGGCTCCTGGTTCATTAAATGAAACCCAATAGCGGTTGTTTGCGTTGCCAGACAGCGAATCCGTCGCAAATTGAATGCCATATTGTATAGGATCCGCCCATGTTTGCTATATAGCTTACGCGCCCGCAGTTTTACAAAATCGACGCAAATGGCGACTGACATATATATACATGTATATATAATATACATATATATATATTATGTGCATATGTTGTTTATCGTTAATTTACAAGTCAGTTAGATGTTGTGACAGAAGCGGCGATATGTGTGATAAAACAAAATTGACAGTTTATTATTCGTCGTATCTTACAACAACTCGATCGTGATAACGCAAAACTGCGTGCGTCGTGATAAAAGATTTGTTTTGCAAAACACGCGCGCGCGCGCGCTCATTATTTTCTAATGGTCCAACAAACGTGCGTCAAACAATATCTCGCGACAACGTTGGACGAATACGGACTATCGCGACGATATAGAGCGTAGTTAAAACACAATTACCGCGACGCCCCTCTACGTCGACCCCACGACAGACCGCGGGCGTACCGCGCTGTCAAAATAGATAACGCTCGGAGTAAGTCACCCCGAAGTTAAAACCCATCGCTGCAACGGGCGTTGTGTAGGACCATTCACTTTGGGTTAACGTCGACAAAGGGTGTACAGGAGGATAGGAGGAAGGCAGAGAAAAGAGGGTGGAAGGAAGGGAGGGAAAGAGGGAGATTGTTACGGCGGGACCGTGATACGCTCGGCGTGCACGTTTTGTTGCTCACGACGAAGTTAGGGGTTGATATTGCTCGTCGTTGGGGGCTGCCAGTGTGACGTCACACGCCTGATTAACATAAACGGACCGGCGTTCGTTGACAGAAGCGTTATCTTTTACCGCCCGTAACCGCTTTCCTCCCGCGCTTAAGAGGGGATATCAATTAAACGCGGTAATGTATCAGCCGGTAAAAGTTTGAAATTTCGTTTCATTTGTTGACCTGACCGTTCGAAGCGGCGAATTGTTTAACGCGAAAATCCACGCTCTGCTATCATCGATCCGTAGCTTATGACGAATTTCGGGCGAGGGGGATTAGTATCCGCGCAGGAGGGATGACGCGCGCACGTCAACCCTTTTATTACGGGACCGGATGACTGTAACTATCTAACGTGACGACATTAGCGGAACCTCGTTGGCTCCGGAATTATTATTATTATTCTATAAATGGATACCAAAGAGGGAGATCCAGATTATAGGACATTATGGGACACCGCTCGCATACCCATTAGAAACGTGCGTGCGTACGTTTTTATATTCACTTGCTTGAAATCTCGCGTACTTCCCGCGCAATATCTTTTCAACTTCTGTCGCGGTACGAAATGTCACATGTTGTAACATTTCAAGCGATCTGTCTATTGTATAACTGTGAAATCACACTTTCAAGTTTTTTCTTTGATAGAAATTTGCGAGATGAAATTCTAGCTTTTTTATACAATTATATCATTTTTTTCGACAGTATGGAAAGCTCGCCGCTTCACTTCCTCAACTTCAATGACACTTGAGAGTAACAAACGAACGAAAATTTGGCAGCTGCGTTTTTATCGTCTCACTTGTCACGGAGAGCTCAATCAATCTCGGTTAATAGCATCGAGTTAAATCAGATTTTAGTTGTTCGGCGGACAAATTATTTTGAAAAAAAAAAAAAAAAACATGTAAGAAACTGAACGAAATAAGATTCTACGAGCCGATCGTAATGGTAATGCGTATGATCAGAGAAATAGTTGATGTAGATATAGATAATAAATATAGATGCAGGTAAAAAGAGAGGAAGAAAATAAGAGCGATCCCGCGCGCTTTGGTGGGAGGAAAAAGATGATCGTCGGGGAAACTTTATCTCATTCATACTTTTGCATTTGAAAGCGGTAATTTATGCGCGCGGCGAAGTGAGACGGGAACGCATCGCGAAGAAACGAGCAAGAGGGGACGAAAGTGCGACGGTGACGGAGCGTGAGTGCTGGCGTGCGCGACGAAGACGCACGAACGTCGCCATTATAATAGATATGTTAGCATGCAAACGCTGTCTTTTATACGTTTGCCAGTCTGCGGTAGTGGTGGCGATCTTCCAGGGCCGTCGATCTCTTTTTACCGTACCCCGAATCCAGCTGTTTATCGATGTCAGTAAGATCAATGTCTGTTAAGTTGGCAACGCACGCGATACCTTCGTGGTGTCTCGTCCATTCATTCTTCTCATAACTCTCTTGTCAAACCGCGAAGAGAGAGAGAAGAGCGTGTCATAAAAGAAGTGACGCAAGGATCAGATACTACATACGGTGTGGTGTTTTAAAAAGTCCAACTCTTTTCAAATTGAAAGAGAAGAACACAACTTTCTGAAGATCAGAGATTGCAAAGAGAGGAAAGAGAACGAGAGAGAAGTTAGATTAAGAACTTGACGTTAAAAAAATGCAATTGGGACTATAATATCTTAGTAACGTGACATGATGTTTTAGATTTTTATTGAATGTAAGTTGACCAGTTTCTTCAAGATGCAACAAAGTCGCCGTTACGAGACATCGAGATTGCCGTGGTTAAGAGACTTAAAAAAAATCCGCGCTATCTGATAAATCGATAGTTGATACGTCCCTGAGGGGCCTCGCGAGCAAAACGTGGAGGCGGCTCGAGAGGGGCGGCAAAGCACGGTTCGCCGGATCGGGGAGTGGTGAGAGGACAACGGCGGTAGCAACTGCTGCGGCGGGAGAGCGGGGGAGGCCGTCGGCAAGGCTCGGCGGGAGGCAGCGGGAGAACGCATGGGTTCCACGAGGGGACGGGGGGAGGGGGCGGCGGTGGCAGGGGTGTATCTACTTACCATACTCCCAGTATACCAAAGTCCCGCGCTCGACTCGCTACGCGGCAGATAGTAGTCGCTGGTAAAGCACGCTTCTGGACAGCAGTCGCGAGAACATTGGGAGAGGGGCAAAGAATTAAAAAAAAAAAAAAAAAAAAAAAAAACGGGGGAAACGGAAAAAGATAACTGAAGATAGACAGTGGGAGGAGGGGGGAAGAAGTCAAAGCGCGAGAAAATCGAGAAAATATTTGCTAACACGTGCTCGCCGTTTACTCACGTGAATACGGAAGAAAGAAGCGGTGAGAGAGCGGAGATTTTTTTTAGCAAAGAGAAGATGTACCGCGAAAATGTCGAGCTGAACCCAATAAAATGGCCGGACGACGACGAATGAAAGTGTGACTGGATGTATCGCGTGTGACAGTATATCGTTGCGTGTTTCGTGTTGTTCCGGTCACATGGTAGCCAGTGCCCCCTTCTCTTCCTGACCGCGGGGGTTCCTCCGGTGGGCGGTGGGGATGTCAACCGTGATTGGGAGGGATGTAGAAAGGGGAAGTGGAAGACCGTGCCTAGGATAGAAGAGAAGGAGATTGAAGAGGAGATAGATAGAGGGTGAGAAGGATGGAGGAAACTCGAAGAGAGGACGTTGCTTCGACGTAATGATGAGCAGGGTAAGTGTGTATATACAAGATATTACGTAATATAATCTTTTTCTACGTAAATAGTAAATTTTGTAGAGTATATTTCTTCATGAGAAGAGGAAAACATACATTTAGTCTTTATATCCATTTAAGAGATCCATTTAAGATGGAAGAGAAATCCTAAAGCGGATATCACTCCGTCTCAAAAGCTTTTTTCATTTATTATTATTTTTTTCATAAAAAAAAACTACCCCTCTTTCGCTGTCCCTTTGGGAAAAAATTGAGGAACAACTTTTTACTACGGCACACGTATATGAATTAATGATATCGTACATTACAGTCCGCGACAGACAATACGCGGCGCGTCCCCTTCTTTGCCACAAGATGTCGGCTTAAATCGTCGTTTGGCAATGCCTCCGGGGCTTCGCCAGCGCGCTTAAATCGTACACTTGGCACACGAGCTAATTGGTCGTATCTCGCGTTAGTCGGCGTGTTTTATCGCGCCATCCGTAACCGGTCGAAACGTTCGCTCGTTTCAACGAGCAATTTAACGTAACACGAAATGGGTAACGCGCTCGCCGCCGCCCGATTTTTCACTCACGGTCCCCACGTGGCGCACGACCACGTGTTGACCAGCAATACCGTCTTACGATCGGAAAAATCCTCACGTGTGTGTTTTCCTGGACAGTCAGTCTATGAATTGTTGAGAAAGCACGCGTCAAAAATTATTATTATTTTTCTTACGAAGAGTCGTTCGATGATCCTTGATGTCTCTTGAAGGAAATACTTATTAAACGTACAGAAATATTTTTTTCAATTTTTCTTGTTTATTCGATTTTACTTTTTATAATCTTTAACATTTTTTTAGAACATTTTTCTTTACCACTCTCAAGTTTTTTTTCGGAGCGACTTTTATTGCCCTACGTAACGTAAGTTTCTGGAGAAGCGACAGAGCGTAGGAAATAGATGCCTGCCGCTTCTGCTTCTCTATCTTGCGAGCCGGACATGAAATTGAATTCGTACCGTGAATAACGACTAACAAACCGCAGTTATATCGTAAAAAGCAATGCAGCGGGATGTGAATTAATTCTGGCTCGCACCCCACAGGCTATCCCGAAGCCCTTTTTCCCTCTTCGTCTCTTCTCGCGCGTGCACGCGGCGTTTCTCGTTTCCTCTCTCGCGGTACTTCTCTCTTCCAACTGGAACGGTCCCAAAATTCAATAAAGGCGAACGAGTACGAGGTCTCCCCCTTGTCTCCGCCGTTTCCCGTATGAGTGGTGGTGGCAGCGGCGGCGGCGGCGGCGGCGACGGCATGGGGTTAGGAGTGCCGGAGTCATCGCGAGGATACGGAGGGAGAGATCGAGGCTCGGTGCATACATTAGCGAGGGCAGCGTGAGCGGAGATACTGTCTGAACAAAGGGATCAGCTCGTACCTATCGAAAAGGCGATTAAGCGAGGATAAAGTTAACTTCGCCTTGGGCACTTTCGCTCGAAACACTATCTGAAAAGGACTTTCGTCCTGTATTGTGATTCGTGGTTATAGTACAAGGTATCGTTATTTTTCGGTGCACCGATAAAATCGATGTATGTAATCGTTTAACGCGTCAAAGAATTACAGAGACTTTTTGCGATATTGATTAATATTGAACTTTTATAGCGAATGTTTTAAAAATTATATTATATTCCATATATATATATATATATACACACACACATACATGCAACCGGAATCGAAAGTATCCAAATAAAGTCGATTATTACAATTTATATTTCTAGAGCTGCATTTAAAACGACAGAAAGATTAAATTATTTGCAACGCATTACGCGATCTCGCTAACTTGACACTTGTCTTCGTTGAAGACAATGAAGGTGGAAAACAGGCCGCGCGTGAGATTGAGAGAAATAGAACGATGGCGAGGACAGCAGGGTTGACAGGACACAATATTGCAATAACTTCAATTACGGCGACACGACGGATTGCCATGGGGTGGATTCGACCGCGTCCTCCGCCCGCCCGGAGCCAACCACCCCCGCTCGTTTCATCCATTTATATATCCGAGTGACACAAACGTCGCGGTCGAATTGGCTGTCGTATCTGAAAGGGGCTGCCTTTAAACAAGTGCTTCTTAATAAACCATTGACGCGCAAAACCACCCTCGAAAATTCGCCCCTCAGCGCTGCGTTGCCACCCTTCCTCAACATCTAACGCCACGAAGCTCCACGGAGCCGTCGAGGGACCTTTAGCTTTCGTTACTTCGTTAAATTCGGAAAGAAGAAGCGCATTCTGCGGTTCGAAATAAGTGTAACAAGAGGCGTTTTGACATTTTTACTTTAGAATTTCCTCTTAAATTGTTATTTTAATCATTCATGAAGATATAAAACAAACATTATAGAGTGGCATTAAAAGAGATTAGAAAGAGATTTAAATAAGTAATCAACATGGTTTAGCAACCATTAGCATATGTGAATTTTTCTACGGAATTATAAAGGATCGTGAAGTGTTTGTATACGCTATAAAAGTTTTTTTTTTACGCTGATAATAAAAAACAAAATTATCAAAACAGTTTTTGCGAAGACACGGTGACTTATCGACCGCCCGTTACAGAGCGGGAGAGCAAACTCTGGAAAAATTGTACAGAGCCTTTTGCCCCGCGGGCTAAGGGTATTTCGCTAGGGGTGGGCACGCACCCTTCTTCGCTCACGTCCCACTCGAAATTTCGCTCGGCTAGCGCTTTTTTTTAACATTTATTTGACAGCTGTCGTCCGCAATGCGTGCGCGTTTACCTACCGCGCGCGGTTGTCTTCGTGTCGAAGTCGTTCGAGGAGAGAAACGACGAGCCTGAACGCCACCCTCCGAACGAAACAGGGACAGTGAAATCTTTTTAAGAAAGCTTTCTTGATCGAGACCGACCGTTTCTTTACGTAGTAAAGATTTATAAGCGATATTAATCTCTCAAGATTCTAGCTTATGTATTTTATTCGACAAAGTTCGTAAATTGAATTCGTATAATATCACCGCTAAGATTTCTTTCTTAAATAAAGAACATTTGTTACGCGCCAATTACTTACACCCACGGTCAGCGCGGCTGTTAATTGCGGAACAACGTGTTTTTTTTTTTTTGTTTTTTTTTTAATCGGCGAGGAACTAATAATCTCGTAATGAGTTGCTGCAAGAGAAAGAGAGAAAGAGAAAGAGAGAGAGAGAGAGAGAGAGAGAGAGAGAAGGTTTGTCACGCGATGCAAACGAATCAACGATATCGTTGAGCTAGGTTAATTACCCCATGACCCGCGCGCCGCAGAATGCGTGGCCGCGACACCCCACTTTCTCCATATACTGTTGTATTCATGCATGGACTTCCGGAAATGTTGGTACACGCGAAAATTGAATGCCATACGCAACACAACACTTGATTGCAAACGTGTTCATTACGTTAAGTTCAATTAAAACATTTTTTCTATTTGATCATAAAAGCAATAGAGATTGAACTGTCAAGACGCTGTAAGTTGCGAGACATTTTCTGTTCTCAAAAGAAACAAAAAAAAGACAGAAAATATCGATCTCTATGTTAATTACTTCTCGGGTTTACAATAAAGAAAATCATTGAAATCTTTGCGCTGTATGTACGTCAAAATATTTTTTATTTTCTCTGCGTTGTATCGCTTCAAAACGTCAAATTTAATTTCCATAAAGAACAAATCGCATCGCGTCTCTCTGTCGTTAGGGTTTCTTAAATCGATATCCGCTGCCGCGCCAAGAAACCTTTCTTTTCCTATCGAGCATGTCCGGGAGAATGATAAAACGTTTAACGGCGGGATAATCGTAGGACATCTCGATAAATCTAACGAGGTTTCGTTGGATCGTTTCGACCTTTCCTTTCCGATCGTCGATTTAAGCACGTTTCGGGTGCACAAATCCCAGAGCGAAATCCCGATAACTAAGCGGAAACTTTTTTTTTTCTCGGCCGCGCGGCAACGGCGGAATAAAAAGTACTGGAGCGACATTGCCGGGATCGTGGCGTTCGGAGCCTGAGAACTTCGTCAATTAGACGGCGCAACAATTAGCCGTGGCCACTAGACAGCAGTGGTTGTGATGGGAAATAAGTAATAACGTATCGTTGACCATAGTCACCTGTCTTTCTCTCTCCACCTTACGCTACAGAAACTACGTTTAATATCATGTTACGCGATGCCTGCTGCGTTTCCCGAGAATGCGGTTTACAGCACGATGTTGCGCAAATGCTCGTTTTCTCAGATGCTTCCATAAGAGAGTTCAACAGAGAGACCGATCTCGCGTCGAGCAAGAGAATCGGCCGTATTGCAAAATGTAACTTAGAAATTTGTGGGAAAAAAACAATTATTTTGCACGCTGGGTTGAGTCGCATAAAATCGGGAGAAGAGAGAGAGAGAGAGAGAGAGAAATAAAATGTTTTATTTTATTTCTCTCTCTCTCTATATTTTATTTATAACTGACAAATATGTAAAATATACGAACTTTAATACAATAATATATCTTTTAATTTACATATAATTAATAAAAAAATTGCACAAATATTCTGTATATAGATATACGCGATATTTTTCAACCTTTGTTTGCTGTCGCGTAAGAAAAAGATAGAGAGGAGCTCGCGAGGATAAAAATCGCTCAGAATGTCACGTAGATGAGGCGCGGCGCGCCTACTTTCCCGGTGCACCATGTCTCGTTTCTACGGGAGTCTCATCGTCGCGCTCCTCGCCTCGGGCCCTCGCGAAGGATTTCCTCGACAGAGCGAGCACCGGACTGCCAGCCGAAGAAAAACCTGGCTACCTGGCTCGCTCTCGCGTACGTGAGTTACGTGACGCCGGATCGGCTGTCGATTTATCGCCGCGATCGCGTACGGCGCGTACGTACGACGACGCACGGTCGCGGCACTCCGTCCAACCGGATGTGAGATTCGTTCCTCGACGAATCCCGCGCGAACGTGACGTCCTCCTTAAACGCGTTAGTGTGTTCACTCGTCACTCTTACCACGTTTAGAAGACGCGGAACACAC